CAAGCTTATTTGGAGAGTAGGCATAGGCATGGGCATAGGGGTAGGCATAGGAGTTATATGGGGAGGCATAGGCATAGGCGTAGCCATGGGAATTCGGGAGGGGGGGGGGCCTAACAATTAGAAGAGGGGGCGCCGGACCAAATAGTGGAGCATGAGTAGAACCGCTAAGGGCAAGCCTGTTTGGAGAAGTTGAGCAGTTTGACTAACCAAGCATGTTGCCATTGTTTTAGCATCCCGAGCAATTCGAACAATTTAAGCAACTTGGGCAGTTAAAACGCTTCGAGCAATTCGAAGAGTTTCAGCAGCTTGTGCACTTGACCAATTTGAGCGATCTGAGCAATTGAGCATGCGGAAAATGTTGAATACATTCAACACTTTGAACACTTTGCGCAATTGCGGCGGCTCAAATATTCGGACCAGCTTTGGAAGTTTAAACACTTCGAGCACTTTGAGCCATTTGATTCGTTCGAGCAATTTTGCGTAACCCGCCGCATTTGGGCAATTTGAATACTTCTGAGCAGTTCGAACACTTTCTCCGGCAATTTGAACAGTTTGAGCAAATGGAAGAACTCGAGCAACCGAAATAATTAGAGACACGCGGGTAATCTTGGCAATTTGAACCATCTGAGTAATCATGCAACTTGAATCTTTTCTGCCAACGCATTAGGAATAAGATTGGCAATTCCTTCTATAAGAAATCTAGCAGTTTCCCATATCTGGGCTTGGACCGCCATTAGAGGGGAAAACCGTATTTTTGAATATAAAACCGCGGCGGGGCACGCCTTTCTAAAGCTCGCGGGAGTGCACTCGAGTCGCCTCTATTATACTCATCTACTCTTCTCTGCTCTTCTCCACTCCCATAATCTCTACCATTTCTGAGCTCGAGAACTGCCGGGCGATTGTCGGGGCGCGGAAACAGAAGGCCCCATGCGGATAGCAGAGGAAACCGCGCGCAGACAGAGGAAACCATGCGCAGAATTTGGCTTCGCAGGGGCAGCGAGCAGGGGTCGGGGGGGGACAATGGAACAGTTCTCCGTGGATCAAGCAAGAACACCTACAGACAGGCCTACTCTGAACACGAACGGCCAGAATAATGCTGACGCGCGCCATATAAGTCCGAATGCGTGACCTTAAGGGTTCTTGACTGTCTCCCTGACGAATGCGGTTGGCACGTTGAATTCTCGCCGCGTTGCCGCCCTTTGCCGCCTCGGGGGGCACGTCGAAGATTCGCCGAATTGCCGCCCGATGCCGCCTCGGAGGGTGCGTCGAAGATTCGCCCCGTTGCCGCCCGCTGCCGCCTCGGGGGGCGCGTCGAGGGCGCGCCGCGCCGCCGCCCGCCGCCGCCCGTTGCGGCCCTCGGCCGCCAAGGGGGGTATGTTGAGGATTCGCAGCGTTGCCCCCCGTTGCCGCCTCGGGGGGCACGTCGAGGATTCGCCGCGTTGCCGCCCGTTGCCGCCCGCTGCCGCCTCGAAGGATACGTCGGAGACTCGCTGCGTTTAGTCATCCATTGCCGCCTCGGGGGTGCGTCGACGATTCGCCGCGTTGCCGCTGGTTGCCGCCCGCTGCCGCCTCGGGGGGCGCGTCGAGGATTCGCCGAGTTGACGCCCGCTGCCGCCTCGGGGGGCGCGTCGAGGATTCGCCGACTTGCCGCCCGTTGACGCCTGGGGAAGTATATTGATGATTCGGCGCGTTGCCGCCCCTTTGCCGCCTCGGGGGTCGCGTCGGGGACTCGCCGCGTTGCCGCCGCGTTGCCGCCCGTTGCCGCCTCGGGAGGCGCGTCGAAGATTTGCCGTGCCGCTGCCCGTTGCCGCTTGAATGCCGAGCATTCGCCGCGTTGCCCCCCATTGCCGCCCTTTGCCGCCCCGTTGCCGCCCGTTGCCGCCTCGGCGGGCACGCCGAGGATTCGCCGCGTTGCTGCCCGTTGCTGCTCTTTGCCGCCAAGGGAGGCATGTCGAGGATTCGCCGCGTTGCTGCCTGTTGCCGCTTGCTGCCGCCTCGGGGGGAACGTCGAGGATTCGCCGCGTTGCCTCCCGTTGCCGCCTCGGGGGGGATGTCAAGGGTTCGCGAAGTTGCCCCCCATTTCCGCCCGTTGCCGCCTCGGGGGGCATGCCGAGGATTTTCGCTGCGTCGCTGCCCGTTGCAAACGTTGCCGCCCGTTGCCACCTCAGGGGGCGCGCCGAGGGTTCGCCGCGTTGCTGAATTTTTCCCCGCGCAACGCAGCGCCATCGAACGCGCGCGCGCGCTACAGCCTCCAAGCAAGCCCGGAACGGCGATTGGGCCAACCCGCAGTAGGCGAGCCCGCGCGCAGATCCTTGGCTACGTGGGAAAAGCGGCGCCAAAGGCGCCACAACCTCCTACTTCCGTAAAAGCACGGGCCCGCGTATGGGAACAGCGCGCACGCGGACCCACAACGGTGGAGAACCGAGTGCCGAGGGCCGACCTGTGCCCCAACTTGGCGGGGATCGTGCACGCCAAATTTGCGCGCATGGCGGTCGCTCGGAAGAGGGAGAAGGGAACGAATTGCAACGAGCATCTGGAAAGCACAGCGCGTCGAGAACCTCCACTTTTATGGTGCTCGAGCCCCTGGCCAAGACTACGTCCAGAGCTGCCTGTGCGCAGCCCGCGCGTCGGGGCTCTCAGTGGGAGCCGCCTTTTTGCAGATCCTCGTCCGTCCACCAAAACAAGCGCGGGTCGCAGCCCCTGGCCCATGCCGGAGGGAAAGCAATCCTCTGATAGCCGCGCCTGGCCGCCTTCGCGAGCGGGCGCGAGCAAGACGACGATGCTGCAGTGCAGAGAGCGACAGGACGTGCCGCTGGCATCCCGAAGCCCGAAGGGTGGAAATAACGCACCAAACGCAAGTTTGGTTCGCTATTTCCCACCTCTGAATTTTTGGAGGTGCCGAAACACACACCAAAACTGGACAGGGGAAATTTCGGTTCAAACTGCAGCTGTGCATGGAATTCCCCCCCCCGTGGTTCTGGTAGCCTCGACTTGCCTTGCAGAAGTACGTTCGCCTCGGCAGACCGCTCGCAGCAGCCACCTGTGCGCGCTCTTGCTGGGAGGGAAGAGAAGGAAAAGAGTGGAGACGCTGCAAGGCCTGACCGGCGGACGCGGCCGAAGCTCGGCCGCGGCAAAGTGGCGGGGCGACCCGCGCTCAGCTCGGCCGACAGACAACTGCCGATCGGACGAAGCACATCAGGAGGAGGAAGGGAAGGAGGAGGAGGAGGAGGAGGAGGAGGCGGGCCAGGAGAAGAGAGCACGGAGGAGGCCTGCACCAATGTGCCGAAACCACATCATGCAAATCAATGCCATCTGGCTCTCGGTTGGTCTCCTCGGCGTCGGTGGCTGGGAAAACGTTCTCGCCCTCGCCCAGCCTGCCGCCGAGCTCCAACAACTCCTGTCGCCCCGTCGGCAGCGGCAGCACTGCCCTGATCATGGCGGCCTTGCGCCTGTGGATGGCGCTGGTGATCTCGTGGCGCCGCCTGTCCCTGAGGTCAGCTGCGGCCTCCGCGTCCTGCGGGTCCGCACCATTTTCAAAGCGGACTTCATGACCCGCGCCCTGTGCGGACCACACGAACGGCTGGAAGATGATCCCAGCCCGTCGCAAGGCTGGCAAAATATGGTGATAACGGTTCATATTCCTCAAATGTGCGCTCGCGCAGGATTCCGTGCCAGCACGCATGGCGCCCTGTGCTGCGATGGCCACGTCCACTGCTGCCGTCGCCTGGGGGATCGCGGCCCTGGTGAGAATGTCCGCGGGGCCGCGAGGCGCTCGCCTGTGGTAAGCAGGCCGTGCGCCTGTCTGCAAAGCAGGGTCTGCCAGGGACATGCCTTCCGTCACGGACGCCACGACCGCGTAGTGCCCGCGCGTGCTCTCGGCCAGCGCGCAGCAGGACGAATGCGTTACGAACGCATCGAGTATCTCGCCTCACTGGCGGCAGCGCACCTCGCCGCTGGGATCAAGCCAGCACCGAGGCGGCTCGCCAAGCAGGCCAGAAAGTCCGCCTCTGCCAGCCTCGACCCGTGCTGCGGCCTTCCAAAGCCAGTCGTGGCACGTATGCTTGTCAAGGAGCTCCGCCATTCTCCGAGTGGCCTTGTGGTCATCCAGGGCGACGCAATCCAGGAAGGCGTGCACGGCCCCGACTCAAGCAGGAGGGAGAACTCACGCTGGAGGTGTGGGGTGGCGCACGCCGCTGCGGCCAACGGCCGTCCGAGCTCACCCGGCTCCGCGCACGCATGCCCATTCTCGCGTGCGGACCGCCTGCCCGATGGCTGCGCGGGGTCCTCCGAACCCAGACTCTGGGCTCGCGGCGCCGGCCCCTGGCCGGCTGCGCCGTCCGCAGGCGATGCCAATCCTGGGAGCAGCGCTCGTCTGCCTGGGCCAGGGGAGTCTTCAAGTCGCTCGCGCGCTCTCCTCCGCATCTCCTGCATCTCGCACATCAGGTCCTCTGCAGAGAAGAGGCCCGCCTTGGCACCGACCTGGGCCAAATCCGCCACCTTGTGCATCGCTGCAGTCGAGCGACGCGAGATGCGCCGCAGCCGCCGTGGTCGCCGCCCGCCCCATCCCAACGCCACCCAGGCCAGCGGCCTGGAGCGCCTTTTCCACACCAGCTTCGGCGACACATGGTGGCAGCCGTTGAAGCCCCTCCTCCTGCGCCACGTCGAACGCCCGAAGCGCCTCGCCCTCCTCGGCCAATGCGCCGCCGTTGCCGCCCGTTCTCGCCTCGGAGGGTGTGTCGACGATTCGCCACGTGGCCGCCCGTTGCCGCCTCGGGGGTTATGTCGAGGATTCGCCACGTGGCCGCCCGTTGCCGCCTCGGGGGTTATGTCGAGGATTCGCCACGTGGCCGCCCGTTGCCCCCGCGTTGCTACACCAAATGGCTTACACTGCAACCCACTGTTTGGGGTCCACGCTGGTAAACATGTGTATACGCATTCTATGAAAATTTGCTCTGACTTCTAAATATGTTCACTGCTGCCTCCCCCTCTCGCGGTGGATCCTGTAAACGTAGATATTGCATCCGGGATTGGCGCGCCCGCGGTTGAGCTTGTGCTTGAGGTGCTGGTCCCCGAAGATCTGCGGGTCACGCCTCCTGCTTGCTACTGACATTAGACATGTGCCCGCCGGCCTGGATTCTCGACGTCGGTGCCATTCGCTGAGGGTGTGGGGACCCCTCGGGGGCCCCAAGGCCCCCAGACGTGGCCGAAATCGCCACGTTCCCTCGACATGCCGACCGCTGCTTGTCAAATTGATTCACATCGGCCGACATTCCGGCCAGGGCCCACACGTTTACGGTGCCGCAATACAGGCCTGAGCTGGATCGACTCGCGAGATCGGATCATCGGACCGGAAACGGATCGCTAGCGAGACTTCCCGAACCGAACGGGAATCGGATCGCCGCGCCTGGCTCTGGCTGGCCCCGGCCACGAATCGATTCGAATCGGAATAGCGGCCCCAACCAGTGAGTTGAATCGTATCGAGTCGCATCGTAGGCGGCCCTGGCAATGTGGCCGATTCCAGAAACCCTGGACCCAGAGATGATGACGTCTCGCTTTTTCCTTCCCCCGCCTGCCGCCGACCTTCGGCCGACCTTGCGACAGCGGACCCACCGCCCACCGTCAATCTACCTTCCGCCACCTTCCGCTGGCCCTCCGCCAGCCTTCTACCGTCTTCCGCAGACAGCGAGGCGCGCCGAAAGCGAGGCCTTACGACACAAGCGTGAACTTTCGAAGGTCCGCGCGGACCTCCGAGAATTTATATGCTCATGCGAATTTCGAAATCAAGGGACTGGGCGAAATATCGGTCCACTCCCACCGCATTGGGGCTGCCAGTGAGCAGGCCAAAACATGTGTACATGTACGCCCTCCGCGATCACGAGTGCACGAGCGACCGCTCTCAGACGCAGGCGAGCGGACGCTGACCGCGCACAGGCACACATGGCTTGTTCCGAAAACCCTGATTCCAACAGCATTGTCGTCTCTTTGGGGCGCATCCTTCACTTCCACCAACTTCCGCGGGCCTTCGCCCGCTTCCCCCAGGCGGAGCCGTCCTCCCTTTACTCACGCCGCCTTCCGCCGGCCTTCCGCGGCTAATTGATTCCTCGAAGGCGAAGCCCTCTCTGGAACGCCTCATAACCTAGAGGATCGAAAACCTCCATTCTGGGGGTCGGACCTCCGCTTTGGAGGCGAAGAACCTCCAGAATAGAGGAAAAGAGCCTCCAGAATAGAGGTCGGACCTCCACCTTGAAGGTTCCTGGCCCTCTCGGTGTGTTGCTGTCCTCTGAGACCTCGCTGGCGCTCGAAGGGCGAGCGCGCCGCCAAAGGAGGCCGGGGCCCCCGAGGCCCTCCCCGAGGAACGGGCCACCAGAGGCGCTCGAACGCCCCGCGCCCAGGCCTCTCCCCGCACACCGCTGTCTGCTCCCGCGTGCATGTCTCACGCGGGCCGATCTTCTCGACGCCGAAAGCTGGGCGTTGCGATTTTTTGTCACGTCAGACGTTTTCTGGTCCAATTTCAGGCCTGGGGACCATCACGGATCGATCTGGCTCGAAAAACGCCGCAGAAAGATAACATCTAGGGCTGCAGTCGTGATTTCTCGCGATGTTGCAGTTTCTTCGCAAGCTCGGGTCTCAGGGCTCGCAGAGGCGAGAGCGGGAAGCCCTTCCAGATTCCCAGATCTGGCCAGAACTGGCGCGTTCCCCCGAAAAGCACTCACCGCGGTGTTTCGATCTGAGCGGAGCCGGCCGAAATTTCGGCCAGCGGCCTCTGCGCTTGTCTGGGCAGGAGCGGCCATCACCGAATCGGAAAAGCCGATCGGATCGAGACGTGCATCGAGTCGGGCTGCATCGGCACGGAGTCGGAATCGACTCGGATCGGCCGCACTGGCATGCGCCACAGCGCCATGCAAGCATCGGGCCGCATCGGCTCGTCGGAACATCGGAATCGAACCGGATCGGGCCGATCGAAAACGATATCAAATCGGATCTATCGAATCGAAATGGGCCCTGCTGGGTGGGTGAGGTCCCGCCTCGGGGGGCTTCTAAGGAGAGCACCCCGTCTCTCCAGAGCCCTGGTCCTGACCTCCCACCCTGTGTGCAGGAGCCATAAGAGGCGCACGCATGAACTTCCAGAGGTCCGCGCTGACTGTGTTGGTCTGCGCTGGACCTCCCTCTCCGCGGAGCGCATGGGGGGCGGCGTCGGAGGCGCCGCCCAGGGGAAGGGAGGTCCAGCGCCGACCGAGGACATCCTTGCGGACCTCCGAGAGTTATATCTATGCTGCTCTGTGGGCATCTAAAACATGGCGCCCGCCTCCTCAGATTGGCGCGGGGGAAGCGGTCCTGGTCTCCGGGGGTCTTCCCGTGGGACCAACTTCTCACCCCGCTTCGTCTTTCGACTGTCCGGTGCCTGCGAAGGGCCTGGGAGTCCGAAAGCAATGAAAAAACTCCAGGGCCCGTTTCCTCCAAGTTCGTCGTCGTTTGGTTGCTTCTTTTCGTTTTATTTCTCCCTGTGTCGCCCGAGAAGCACAGGCTGACGAGAGCCGTCGGAGAGGCAAACGCAGGGGGTCGTGCAATGCCAATGCCCGGGGGGACTTGCTCTGCTCCCTCACGCCGGCTCGCCGACCTTCTGGACTTCTACGGATGGCCTCGCTTCCTCAGAAGGCTGCCCCATTCCCGCAGAACTCCATCGTTATGACTTTTCTCAACGTGGACCCTCCGAGGACCTGGCCCTCTCTCTCTTGACGGCCCCGAGCTCTGGGTCCGATCAAGAGCTCCAGGGGCCGAAAATTGCGAAATAACCCTCCAACGCGACTCTTGTGACGACGCGAGGTGGTCTGGCTTCGGGTCTTCACTCGGGTCCCTGGCGGCCGTTCGGAACGATTCGGGCCCCGCGGAACGCTCTCGGCGATGCGCAGCTGCTGGACAGAGTCCCGCGGCCTGGCGAGCCTCCGCCGCGACCTCTGCCACTGCGCGAGAAGGTGGAGGGCACTCGAAGCAGGATGAGTTGAGACAGCGGCAGCTCGAAATCGGTCCCTGGACCCCTCCGAGGGTCCAAACGCACCAGCTCTTAGCTGCGTCCTCCGGGCCCCCGGCGAAAAGGGTCCTGGCGAACAAGGTCCTGGCGAACAGGGTCCCGGCGAGCAGGGCCCCCGGCGAGCAGGGTCCCGGCGAGCAGGGTCCCGGCGAACAAGGTCCACGCTGCGGCGAGGACCCCCCCCCGAAGGCCAACTGCCGTTGCCTCAGTTCGCCCTCCTCCGAGGCTCGCCGCTGCGCACGCCTTTCTCCGCCCCGCCGCGCCTGCGGTCGTTGTCCCTCCTACCGCGGTCGTCGCCGCGCCCTCGGACGTCGCCGCGCCCGCGGTCCTAGCCGCGCCCGCGGTCAGAGGGAAAGAAAACGGTTACCACGACCAAGAGTGAGCACGGAAACGTCGGCGCCGGCCTCGGTCACCGTTCGTCTTGGTCGCCGTCGATTGCCAGGGATCGTCCTCACGAACTCGGCGACGGCCGTCGGGGACCATGACCAAGATCGGCGTCGCCGAGGCCCCGCGACGTCTTGGTCGTGGTCAGCGTGTTCCTTCCCTCGAGCGGTCCTCGCCGCGGCCGCGGTCCTCGCCGCGCCCGCGGTCCTCGCCGCGGCCGCGGTCCTCTCCGCGCCCGCGCTCGCGGGCGTCGCGGCCGCGGTCCTCGCGGGCGTCGCGGCCGCGATCCTCGCGGGCGTCGCGGCCGCGGTCCTCGCGCCCGCGCTCGCGGTCGTCGCGCCTGCAGGGGTGGGTGGGCAGGCGAACGGCATCGTATCCATTTGGCGCCACGCCGCGCTCGGCTATCTGCCATGTTGCAGCCGCCGAAAAGTGCTAGATGCACTCAGGAGTGAACGCTACACAGTCTAGCTGCTGCCACAAGGAGCGCTGAATAATGAATGAGGCCCATTCGGAGACCTCACGAGAGCGCCTGGGTGCACGACGAACGCTGGAGAGACAGCCATGGAAGGGCCCAAAGAACAGCGAGCCCCTTCCGAGCCCGCGCAGTGTATCACCCCTGCGTCAAGCAAGAGTGACCTCTGGTGTGCCGCTTGCCGACCGCAGCATGCTATGCGACAGCAGTGGCCAGCGTCTCCATAGGTCTGGCCGCTCCTGTGACCCGCGGAAGCCGCGCATCCAATCGGCGATGGCCCGAAACCGTCTCTCACAACGCACTTCTGTGAACAGAACGTGGGACCAGACTGGGCGGGCGCAGACCTGCAAGAGAGCGTCGCCGCGACACCCTCTCGAGAATCGACGAGGGGCAGTTCGCTGATCGACTTGGCAGGGTGGTGGTTCTGTCAATCTCCGATCCCTGACATCCGATGTCTTGTCTTTGTCCATGCGGGGTCCTCGGGAGTCCCGAACCGCTCCTCATTGCCAGTGTTTCATCACGAGTTGCTTTTTGACGGTCCCCAGACCCGACGGGGGCCCCTGGAGCTCGAAAACAGCCACAAACCGTCAGTCGTGTGTTGTTCACGACGCGGGCATGTCTGGGATCCAAGAGCCACTCCAAGCAAAGGCGCAGCAAAAAAACAGCGACATACCGCTGCCTCCCCCCAGCCTATCCTTCGGGGAAACCACGCTCTGCCTCGACCCGTCCTGCATCGGCACGGAGTCGAGGCCTGAATCGGATCGGCTGCGCCAGGATGCAACAGCAGCAACAGGCAGGCATCGGGCCGCATCGGATCGTCAGAATATCGGAATCGCATCGGATCGAGCGGGCCAAGATCGATATCGCCTCGGGGTCGATCGGATCGAAATGGACCCTGCCCTGGCGCCCATCCTGACAAGCTTTCGGAACTGCGCCCAGCCGAGGCGACGATGAGCCCCAGAGACGCCCAGGAGAGCCCAAACGGAGGCGTCGTCGTCGCCGGTGTGTTCTTCCTTCCCTCCGCCGAGCACCCACGAGCGCGGTCGTCGCGGCCGCGGTCGCGGTCGCGGTCGTCGCGGCCGCGAGCGCGGTCGTCGCGAGCGCGGTCGTCGCGGCAGCGGTCCCTGTCGTCGCGGCGGCGGTCCCGGTCGTCCCTGCCGCGGTCGTCCCTGAGGCGGTCGTCTTGCTGGCCGCCGCGGGAACGGCTCCGCCCGCGCCCCTGGTCGTAGCCGGCGGGCGGCTGACCTGGAGGCCTCCCAAGCGGAGCCCGAGCAGACCTAGACGGGAGGACGCCAACCCCAGCGCACTGATGTTGCTCAGGCCGGGCGTTGCTTTCTTCACTTTGGCGTCTTGGGCGCCGGTTTTTCGGGCCCCAGGGCCGTCAAAAATGGATCCGGGGAGAAGAACCGCCCCCCATGAAGCCAGGACGGGGTAGAGCCAGGGCCCACGGATTGAAAAGTCAATGCGCCAGGTGTCGGGGGCCAGTGTCTGGAACCAATGCACCAGCACCGATCCTCCAGCCCCTCCTGGGCGCGTGATCGGTGTAGAAGACCCCAGGCTTGGCCAGGGAGGCAGGTGCACCGAGCATGGGCCCCCAGGATGGGCCTGGCCAGGGCCGGTGCTGGTGTGCAGCTGGCGCCCAACGGCCAGACCTCTGGCGGCTCGGCAAAATCACGCGGCAAAATGCGGTTGCGCGGTTGCGGGGCCCAGGACCCTCGCTGTCGGGGGGTGGCGCCGCATCGACTGCGAATCGTCGGCGGTGCTGGCACGAATAAAATCAGGCTTGGGCCGAACCCGTGCCGTCAGGCACTTGGCCGCCCTTTTGATCGCGCCGATGCGTCTGCGACGGGATGCGGTCCCCAGAGCCCCTTCTGCTCCCCAGGGTTCCTTATGCGTCGTGCTTTTGCTTATGGTGTGAGCACCCGGAGCTCCCGAGCCCCAATCCGCAAGACACATTACTCGTCTCAAGTCGCTCCCGGGGCTGCCCCGTGGCCCGACCACTGGCTCCAGAGGCAGACAATGCAGGAACGACCCCGGGAGAGCCACAATAACTGTTGCTGGTGGCCGCTCGTTGTGCATTGGCGCCGGGGCCACGGCAGAGGACGACAAGTGACAAGGAAAAGAAGGAGGAGGAAGAAGAGGAGGTGGAGGAGGAGGAGGAGGAGGAGGAGGAGGAGGAGGAGGAAGAGGAGGGGGGGGAAATCACGAGGAGGGGGGAGGGGGAAACGACGACGGAGAAAAAAAAAGATAAAGGAACAGGAGGGGAAGGAGTGTGGAGGGAGGATACTATACGCACGCCTTCAGTGCCAACATTGTTCTTGACATAAGCAGTAGTGACCGTACAACTGGCTACACAAGCGCGCAACCGTATGCCCTGCAGACTCCACAATTACGGATAGCGGTTGGAGCGGTGTACCTCTGGTTCTTAGAAGAAGGTGCATCTGCCATGTTCAAGGCGCGCCAGGGCCGCAACCGATGCCCCGTACAGGGCCAGCCTGCCCCAGGCAGCTACCGACGCATGGCGCATCCACGGAAAGCCAGAATAAGCTCAGAGGTAGCTCGTTTTCTTGCATTCCTAAGAATATGTTTGTATTTTTTCTGGCGGAGAAAATGTTTCGAAATTCTGCGTGCCTGGGAAACTCCAACGGAAGGCGAGGTCTGCGTACTTTCATTGGCCTCCGAGGTTGCAGCAAGAGGGGGAGGAACAGACGACGTAACCTCCACCGGCCTCAACCTCGGTCGACGCAGATGCATCGACGGAGGGAGAGCGTGCCCCAGCTGGGTGGCGCTCGGTGTTTTTTTTCGGCCTCCCGAGGGGCAGCGAAACCTTTTGCCACTTCCACCACCAGCAGGGCCAACAAAATGATGGTGCTCGAGGCAGACCAAAGCTAAATATAGGCCTCGCAAGCAAAGGCAAAACATATAGAAAAAGAGGTGGAAGAAAAGTGGAACAGGGCACTGCGGGAGACCCATCACCGCAAGATACCTCCGCCACTGGGTCATCGAACGATCCCCTCAAAACCCCATCCCACGTCCCACGACCTGGCAAATCCACCACCCAAGGAATATAATGAAAGACAAAACAAAGTGTCGATGAGGGCATGTCACCGCTCAAGTGCGAGTTCTGCCGCACCTCGGATGTCGTATGCGCGCTCCAGAGACACGGGAATCTTCTGAGCGAAGCCTTTCGCTTCGTGGTACATATGAAAAGCCAGTGCACCTGCCCATTCCTCACGCGTGAGTTCCGATCCCGCCCGCCCGTAGTCAGACGCCGCCCCGGGTCCCAACAATACAGTCGGCGAGCCTGGAAAGTGGCGCCTTCTCCATGCAGGGTGCATTGCAAGATGGTGATACATTCTCGAGCAACGCAGGTAATGTGCAATCTCGTCAGGCTCAGCGGAGCCCCAAAATCAGCTCGTGGGGGCATTGCCTATGTGCACCCTATGCGTGGTCGTCCACGCTCCGCAGAGGGTCTTTACAATACTCCTTTGTCAGGCAGGCTTGAGACTCGCGATGCAAGCCCGACAGAGTTCCCACCGGCCAGCCACCGACCTCCGCCCCCCAAGAACCGGGACCTGCCACGCGAGCAGCCTTTTGCCCGACGTCTCTGGAAAAGAATCCGGAAAAACGGCAGCTCGAAGCGTGCGCGCAAAAATGCGTTGCGGGTGCGGGCGACGGGCCTCCTGGATAGCTAGTTTGGCATGTCCACGCGCTGCGCGAAACGCTGCGTGCAAACCTGGCATGTCAGGGAAAAAGGGGGGCGGAAGCCTGGCCCGCCCCACGAATTGTGCGATTGAAAAAGGGCGCTTCCAGCAGGGTGCTGAAGATCTCCTGCAGTGAAGCGCACTAGCGTAGCATTGTCTTGGGCATTTTCTTTCAAGCTGCGCAGTGCGTTCTGCCATGTATGATTCATAATTTGAATAGACGTGCAACACCTGCTAACCCATCCAAGCAAAGAGACAGAGGACGGGGCAATGGCGAGCACAGATGGGAGAGCGTTCAGATCAGCAAGACTGAGGCTGTTCGGCGGCAGCCTGAGCAGCGCGTGCAAAGCCTGACGTTCGAGTTTGCAAATCATGGCAGGGATGGGAAACAGTTGGGCGAGGTACGAGGGGGTCGAGAGAGCGGTGGCGTTGTACAGAATAAAAAAAACGAGGGACCAGCTCCAGAGCATGGCAGAGCAATCGCCCTCGACCACCACCTCTCCGCCGCGTTAGCCCAGGTCATGCGAAGCGCGGCTGCAGGGCCCATGTCGACCCCTAGGTAGACTGTATGGCCAGCAATCTTAAAGTTGGCCCACTGCGGGGTCCACCTACAAAACTCGTTTCGGACCCTGGTCTGGACAGCTTCGGTGCACTCGGTCCACAGTGGGACCAGTGCACATTTGGCCCCTTGGAGCTTGAGAAAAACAAAACGCTCAACATCCAGCAAAATACGGGAAACACCAATCAAGTCACGCAACCATTCTTACATCGTCAGCGCAACCCCCTACAGAGCCCTTGTGGCGCCTCGCCTGCGGGGGCTGCGTGGCTGCGTGCAGGCATCTCAGGATGGGGTCCATTGCAGGGGCCCAGCGAGAGCCAGATGACGGGCACCCCTGCAGGAGCCCCGAGTAGAGATGCAACAGGACATCGAGTCGATTCTGAATCTTCGCAAGGCCTCTAGGTAAAGAGTATAACGCGCCGGTACCATTTAGGAAACCTGTTGGGGCCAAATCCTACTCAGAATCTCGAACAATCACTGGTGGCCCAGAGACGGGAACGCCGCCTCCACATCGTAGGCAGCGAGGTTCGGGAGGTCCTCCACAGCTTCAGGGGTGATGCTGGCCTTGCGGGTTTCGGTGCCCGACGCGATGCTGTTGGACAGGAAATTACGTCCTGGGATGAACCCTTGTTGAGCCTCATGGGTACGTTATTGGGCGACCTGTCGGATCTGGAAGTTAGCGGCGGATGCCATGATCTTAGCGCCCTTTTCCTGAGGCTAAGTGGCCGAGCCTCCCCTGGGGGCCTCGCGCACACCTGGGCATCTTCGGCCCCGAACCTTTGGGAAGAAACGCAAAGAGACTATCCTTGAGTTCCAGGGGCGCTGCATGTCCGCAGTAAAGATGTGGCATAATTGTATGTAAGAGTGCAAGCTGTTCGGGTCGAGCTTCCCATGCTGCGCGCGAAAGTCGATCGGGGCCAGGGGCTGATCGCCGAGCCAGTTTGAAGGCGCGCCCTTGTTCGGGTTCCGTTGGAAGTCTAAGAGGAGATCTCGCCGATGGGGCAATTTTGTCGAGGCGCCCCTGAGGGGCCTTCTTCTCCTGAGCTGCTTTGGCGCCGAAGATGGGCTTCCAGCGGGGGGCCAGGGCGGGCGCAGTCTGCTCGGGACCCCTGGCGGCAGCCGGGGTCTCTTGCAGGCTTTCAGGTCTGATCCCTGCGAGAACGAAACGATGGGCTTTGGGGGCCCAGAGGGTAGCGCGCCGCCTCCCGTGCATCCTTGCAGCTCGTCCCCCATCCTCACCCCCCCCCTTTGGACGCCCTGTTTTCAACAAGTCTGGCCTCCATCTGTCCGAGCTCGTAGTTGGCGGCGCGCGCGATGAGGGCGAACTCCTGCCTGTCGAGGAGCTCTACGTCGCCGTTGGACACGTGGAGGAAGCGCGCTCCGTCGGCGGCGGCGGCCTTCAGCTTCCGAGCCGCGTGGATGTCGTTGCGCCAGATGCGTATTGCCATTGCCCTCAGCGCGATGATGCGCCCCCCCTTGGCACGGGGGGCTTTGGTCGAGATCGGGCGGCGCTGAAGTTCGCCACGAACCTGACGAGCAGCCTCGATCATGAAGTCTTTCACGCATCGCCACTGGTACACAAATGGAAACCGATCAAGTTGAGCAGCATCGATTAGTCGTCCCAAGATCTCTCCGCAACGAAGGCCACGACAGACATGCTCAGGAATGCTGGTCTGTTGGTCATGCTGAGCGCGGTCGCGAGGGTGAAGAACGATCGGCGCGTGGCCACTGAACCTGGAGCCAGAGATGGCGGCCGCGTCAATGTTAACCTCCGCCGAGACTTCGATATCTAGGAGAAAGTGAGCTGGGGTTCCGATAGAAGATACGATCCACTGTGGCTGCGGTGGCCGAGTCTCTGCAATAGCGCGCGGGGCACTGTCGAGATTTCAGCGAGCATAGAGAAAAGACGTTCCCTGTACGCTTGCAAAGGCTGCGATCACCGACTCCGTTCTGCAGGAACAACGCCAGGGATGAAGCCCTCG